TAATCTTCATTATGAAATATTTTATATACATAACATATCATCATTTGTATAATTATAATTATAAATAATAGTGTTAACTCTTCACAATAATACAAGTTCTTTAATTATATATTTAATCTAAATATATATTATATTGTAATATTAATAAAGAATAAAACAAAATATGATATAATATATGAATCTATGGATGCATTATATTTTTAATAATAAATAAGAATAATACTAATGTAATCAAGTTGTATTTAGTACATTAAATGTATATTTTGTTTAATAAAATAAAAAAGAATAAATCGAACTACCAAAAAAAAATAAATGACATTGCAATAAATTAACAAATTTCATATGTGAATAATCAATGTAATCAGCATATTTATTAATGCTACAAAAATATAATATAAAATATAAAAATAACTTTCGCACAATTTTATTATATAAAGAAAGCATTATAAATTCTTTTGTTCAACAATTATTGTTGGATTCAAAGTTATGCATATTACATGATTATTATATAACACACATACCTATAGTATATAATTATAAAATATTGACTATTAATAAAGAGTAGTTGATTTAATTTACATTTAATCATATACAATATCTTGACACAAATAAAAAAATTTCCATATTATCTGATACAAAAAACTGTATATTTCTTTTAATAAGTTTTTTGTTGATAAATTTATATATACAACCTCTTAATAAATAAAATCATAATCATATAAATATAAAAATCAATTAAAGCAAAAGTACACTAAAAATTACATGAATGCTATAACCTAAAACATAACATAATCTCTATATCATACAGATTAAATCCTAAAGAAAATACCTATATATAATTATATTAATCGCTATATTCAGATCATATATACAATTATATCTCAGAAAATATTAAAATTTTAAAAAAGTAGATGTTTAATATTTAAAGAGCTACATCTTTAAATATTTAATAACATAATATTATTTTATATATACATAGATAATGGCCTGTATTTTTATGTAAAATAATTACAATTATTATTTATGTTAGTCAAGTATTTAAAACGTCATATTATATATATATAACCTACAAATATGTAAAAACTGTTCTTCATATTGTTATGATTATATTGAAATATTTTTTCTTTAAAATTTTTTTTTATACATTCATATAAAATGTATAATTATATTTTATTTTTTTAAAACAATGTTACTACACCAACTGTGATTTTATTTTTATGATTATTAGTCCGCTGAGGCATATGATATTCGGTAATCATTATAATTTAAATTATGGTGTGTATCATGAAATGTGTCCATTAACTTTTGATGGTATCTTTTTTTTTTATTAAACCTTTTTAACTTTCTTACCCTTGGTTGTAAAAAAGATCCATAAGATGTGTACTGAAAATAAAGCATTTATATGGTATATTTAAATAGATTTAATATATTTTTTTATAATTAATATATATTTTTTAAAATTTGAATTATAATATAACATAAATTTGAATAAACTAAAATTGTTTATAACTTTATACAAAATAAAAATAATTGTTATAATTGAAAAAGGATAAAAAAACTATTCCTGAAGTAGTTCCTAAAATAAATCTTGTTCCAGTTATCGCACTTGCCTCTGTTCTTGTGTCTGTACCTGTGCTAATGCTCTTTTCGGCGATCGTACTTATTCCTGTGCTTGCACTTGTTCCTCTGTCTCTGAATGTATTTCTATTTTTCCACTTGTTTTTGAAGTATTGCAGGACAAATTTACCATATCCACAATCACGCCAACTAGTTAAATAACCTTTATATATTTGGAAAACTTTTTCTAGTTCTTTATAAAGGCTTTCATTCATAGTATCCTTATATTTTTCTAAACGTTCCATATTTTGTTCAAATCTTTCAACTCTGGATAAGTCTCTATTATGCGGAGTATAAAATTCTTTAATTAAATCACATATATTATCTAGATTTTCCAATATTTTAAATGTATCTTCACCAACGTTTATATCATGGTTCTCACATATTTTTGATATAATTTTTTGAGAATTATCAACACTATTATTTATCATTTCATAATAATATTCCTTCGTTGTGTTAATTTTCGATCCAAATTTTTTTAATAGATTTTTTTTTAGCTGGTAATGAAAACATTTACAATATGATTTTATATTGTCGGAATCTGTTTTTTCTTTTAGCTTTATGTGATATAAATATAAACACATAACTTGGCATAATTGAATGAAGGTAAAATTGGTGCTAATATCTTGTGCATTCCTAAATTTACTGCACAAGTGTGTACAAAGACCAGCCTGAGGATCATGTCTATTTGTAGTTGAACTCCAACTGAAACCATTATTACGCGCGTCATATATACCAGTATAGTCGAACTAAAAATAAAAATTATAATATATAAAAAATTAAAAAAAAAATTTAAGAAAAAATATTCTCTCCTTGTTTTCAATAAAAGAGTGTTTTAATATTAGGTTTATAAATTATAATATTAAAAAAACATTGAATCCTACATCATTACTAAACGTTTTTACTCATATCATTTATTTTATATATATTATATAATATATATTGATTTCTATTCTTTGTATAACAAAACATTATCTCAAAAAAATTTCAGAATAAATGGCCTACTTATAACATATATACTGATTTATATAATTCTTTTAATTTTAGATTACATCAATATATTAAACAAGTTATTCAAATATTTTAAACTGTATTAGTGTTATTTGTTCCATATAGGGCAATTATATTTTAATGGAAATATGAAAATTAAAAAATAAGTACATATTATAAGGAACGTATTATAGCTTTAAATTAAGAACAATATTATTTGGATATTATTATAAATATAACACAGATTAAATAGTATTTTCTTATGATATAACAAATAATTTTGATTCTGTAATATATGCATAAATTATTATGATATATTTTTATATATGCCTTTAATAAATTTATAAATTAGGTGTATAATGTTCTTACTACAGAATTCATTAGTTTAAATATGGAGTTCGATCATAAATGTTTTATTATTCATATTTCAATGCGTATTTCTTTTTTGTTTATTTTTTGATATATATGCACAATGCACTTTTGTTATCAATTGCGTGCTGCCTATGAGTGTTTTCATTATATTTTCATATAAAACCTTAATAACAGAAAAAATGAATATACATTCATTTATGTAAATATATATAAATAAGGTTAATGCCTTTGTTATATTATTTATTAATATATATATATTAATATCTGTATATACTATTTTGAAAAAAAATATTTTAATTGAATATATATATATACGTTTAAATATTGAGTTAATAATTTATATTATACTTTTTTTTATTATTGTGATATACAATACATTTACAAAAATAATTAAAAAGTATAATTTTATATTGTATATTATTTTAACATAGTTTTCATATTTATAATGAATAATTATTATATTCGTAAGGTAATACGTTGCTTTAATAAAATAATTAAGTAATAATGAAAAATTGCAAGTGCTTTTATATGGTATATTTATTTATTTTTTATTGCTAATGTAATTATTCAATGTGAAATTATTTTTTTACGTTATACTATTATTTTTATTTATCTTGTTTATTCAATTTAATAAATTCTGGTACTCATACACGATATAATAAAAAATTTCTTTTGATTGTGAAATTTAGAAAATTATGCAATACGTACTCCTCTGTATGCCTATATATATATATATATATATAT